AGTGACAGAGCTAGAATTTGAACTGACTTGAAAACCCAAGATTTCTGAACCACACAACACAACCTTAGAAGTAAAGCCTGGCCACATTGGCCGAGGGCCAGCCTTGTAACAGTCCTAGGGACCTCCAGAAAGGAGGGTGGAGAGAGTAGGAAGGAGGGAGAAGAGGGGAGGAGCCTCTGGTCTCATTTCCTCGAGAGCCACCTGTTCCCACCCACCAGGGTACACAGTATCTGACTCTGCCTTAGCTTTCTGGTTAGGAGCGGGGCAGAGTCTTTTGTGCCTTGAGCACCCCCCCCCCCCACACTTTTTTCTCCTTGCTCTGCTCTGTTCTGCTTTCTCTCCTTGTTCTTTTTCGTAGATAATACTCCTACAGACCTCCCACGGCAGCTCCAAAATGCAGCCTCCTGAGTTTCTTGTTGACAAAGTCTTTTAGCTATCTGAACAGGGCCCCCTCTCAGCCTACCCCTCTCTGCAACTCCCTACCATTGCCCAGAATGAGTGGAGAATGGGGAAAGGGGAGAAGAAAAGACTAGAGTAATGAGGACCTCAGTTCCCCACCTTCCGGTGCCCTCTTTAGATTTTTTAACTCCTTCTTACTCTCCCCACCCCTCAAGGAGAAGGTAGAGGATTATTCACTAAGGACTGAGGGAACATATATGAACAACTGCCAAATCTGAACAGAGATCTGAGTGGCTGATAAAAGTGAAGAGAGAGGAGAGTCTGAGTCCCTATATCTGCACATATTATCTAAAAGGAAAGGTCAGACTAAGGGAAAGACTCTGTGGCTGCATCCCCATCCCTCCACATGTTTACATTCGTTGAGGGACTATAGGGAAAGAGTTTAAAGGCCTAAACTGCTGTCTCACTTTGGGATAAGTGATCATAACCATAAGTATCAGTGTATCTTCTGGAAGTGGGAACCAGCATTATCCCTGGAGCTGTGAGTAGGGACAGTGCATCTCTGCCTCAGTGTTTTCATATGTAAATTGGTAGTTATTAATAATAGTATCTACCTTATAGAGTTACTGTGAGGATTAATGGGACAATCCAAATAAAACATTTAGCACAGTGCCTGGTACAAAGTTAATGCTCAATAAATGTAAACTCCTGTAATTCTTAAGGGCACTGCATCCATCATCTACTCCCCCACCATTCACCCAGTGTCTGGCTTGACTTAATTCCCCAAACTAGCCCAGAGTATTGATGTGGAACCCTGAAAATCTGAACATTTTTTGGCCTTACAGGCCACTCCAGGACCACCAGGACCTGATACACAATCCCAGATGACCAGTGCATTGAGTGACCAGACAGTCTCAGCCATCCTTTCTGGACCCTAATAATGGTAGACAGCTATGTTTGAGGGAAGCAGAATCTGGATTTGGAGTTGGGAGATTGTCAAGGATGGAACCCAGGCTCTGCCACTTACCAACTTTGTTACCTTGAGCATTTCTCTCCTTCTCCAATCTCTCTGCCTGTGTTACTTGTATCTGAAATGGCTATCCTGGCTATTTCACAGGTGTCCTGAGAGACTCATAATCAGGTAATATTTGCATGATGAAAGTCACATTCTTATAGGTCATTTATGTTTTCTCTCAATCTGCATAACAACTCTCTGAAGTAGTTATTAGCATCCCCATTTTACAGATGAGAAAACCAAGTCACTGAAAGATCAATAACTTGCCTTTAAAAACCACCCAAATAGCAAGTGGCAGAACAGGATTCAAACCGATGTAGCTTGGTTCCCCATCCAGTGGGTGCTTTCAACCTTAGCCTCACCAGTTCTCTAAGTGAGCTAACAGCAAAAACCCCCTTCAGTTTAGCAGAATGCTGGACTATCTCCTGGAGGGGAAGAGGTGAGGGCTGCGGGTAGGGGTTATTTTGCAGCTCCAGACCTGCCCAGGCGATGGGACATGATCTGCGACTCTAGATTCCAAGGTTGGAAACTGAGGGAGGGGAGCGCTGCTCTCTTCCCAAAGCACCCGTTCATTTTAATACAGGTGTCTTCGGCTTTGGCTTTCCTCGCTGATGAGGGTAGGTGGAGCGGGGGACACTTCTTTATTTCCAACGCTGGAGGCTGTGGGTGTGTCTCCTCGAGGGGTGGGGGTACTGAGCCTCCTGCTTTACTCGTCCGGGAACAAATTGCTGTTTTGGCCGCGGCGGCTCTTCTGGGCGCGGGCGGCAGCCGCGTTCGCTGGCAAATCGTGGGAAGGAGGAGGAGCGGCGCTGGCAGCAAGGCAACGGGGACCGCCGCGGCGCGGGAGACGGACTGGAGACAGCAGTGCGTCCCGCCCGGTCCCTGCTCCGCACCTCCTCCCTGTAGCGCAGGGTCCAGCGCACAGCCGAGCTCCCTGGGACTGACACGAGTGGGCCCGATCTTCCTCACTCCGGAACTGCAAGACCTGCATGCCTAAGATTAGGAAGTTTTCCCCAGCGTCTGACCTCTAGCGGTCTCCGACACTGTAGCGCGACCTAGGAGCAGAAAAGGTGACAGGCTAGACTGAAGCATAGAGCGAGACAAGGGTCTAGGTTCCTTTCTCCACTGCACTCCTTCTCCACTCTGGAGTCAAACGAAAGCCATCCGAATCACACTCCTAGGGCTACCCACCCTCCAGTTTTCTCAAGAATGCTGCCTGCAGTTGCATCTCCTAGTAGCAGCTCCATTTTCCAGAGTCAAGCTAAGGCTAAGAAAGGCTTGCACGCCCCAAAGCTGTGTTCAGAAGCCCCTCCCCTGCGCAGTTTGAGTTCCTCTGGGGCCTAAACCTCCACCAACCACCCAGCCTTCACCGCCTCCTGGTCGCTAGTCCCCTTTCCTATGACACTCTTCTCTGGAAATGCATCTTCTATCACATACAACACCCCGCCCCCCACACACACCCGAGCCCCCCTCCAGTCCCTCCAGGGAAGGAGAGGCTGCTAGGCGGCTCTCAAGAACTCCCAGTCTGTAGAGAAGACGCCTCGCCCCTGCTGCTGAGGCTGAGTCAGCCTGAGCAGACCAGGCTGCCGTTCTCCGAGGGGCGGGCGGAGCGGCCAGGGCGGTCTGAGCGGCAGGGACAGTGGGGCGGCAACCTCCCCCTGCCCCCGCCGAGGTCCCGAGGGGAGGGGGACAACTCGGCAGGAGGCCTGTCCCTTTAAGGAGGCGGCCCTGACTGGGTGTGCCCCGTCTCCATGGTTACCCCGGTGCAGGCGGCGGCGCGGGAGGTTGGGAGGGAGGCTGCCGCTTCTCCCCGACAGACGGAGGGAGCTGCGGGGATCCGGTGGTGGCGCCAAGCGGAGCCGCCCGCAGCAGAGACGGGAGCCCAGCGGGCGAGAGGTGCCGAGAGGGCCGCAGCTTCGGAGCTTGGAGCCCGGGATTCGTGGGCGGCGAGGGCGCTAGGGGCCGCGCGCAATGCTCAGGGCCCCGACGGCGCGGACGCCCCCTTGCGCGCTGGCGGCTGGCGGGGCCTGCGAGACCCTGTTGGGCATTGCCCCCCGACGGCTGCTCTAGGGGGCGCAGGGCCCGGAGGGGGGCGGGCGCCCTCCCCGGGCGCTGAGTCCCCGCGCCCCGGAGGGATGGGGCGGGCGGCCGAGGCCGCCTAAGATGCCGGCCATGCGGGGGCTACTGGCGCCGCAGAACACCTTTCTGGACACCATCGCCACACGCTTCGACGGCACGCGTGAGTCAAACCCTAACCCCTAGCTCCCGGACAAACGATCCCCATCCAGGACTGCAGCCAGCCCTAAGCCCCACTTGTCGGCTTGGCGTCCACAAGTTCTCACCTTCTCTCCCCTCCTCGTCCCTCTTGAAGCAGGGACCATTGTATACTTCAAGGCACCGTTTCCCTGAAGGGTTCAGGTCAGTGCAGCTCCTGGCGAGGCAACACTGGGTAGAAGATGTCCCTTGGTGTGGAGCCCGGGATGCATTCTGTTCCCGGGAGCACGAATCCGGACCTAATCAATCAGACCCACCTCCTGATCTGGCGCTGTTACAAGGACTACCCTCACCCCAACCGGATGGGGGTTGGGGTGAGCAGTGCTCACCGACAGACTAGAGGGCTCAAGCTCACGCGCGCGCGCGCACACACACACACACACAGAGAGAGAGAGAGAGAGAGAGAGAGAGAGAGAGAGAGAGCTTTGCAAACAGAGATAGAGTAGAGGGTACTCCCGGGAGTACCATGGTGGGGACTCCCACCAGGATTGAGGAAATTTGGAGAAGGCAACCTGAGCTTCTGAATCCTGTGTTCCTGGGGTTCTGAGCACAGGGAAAGTCATGAAAGTCAGATCCCTTCTGCACATTCACATTTAGTGGAGCTTCCCAGCTCTCTGCCTAGTTTTCCATAGTCTCTCATTCTTAATAGGGGGTGAGAGCCCATCTCTGAGCTCTCCCCACTCTGGATTCCTCCATCAGCTTTTCCATTATGCTTGGCTTTTGCCGGCCTGCTGATTCAGCACCCCGGCTCCCCAGTACATGCCTGGCTCCAGTTTTCAGCCACCATTCTTACACCCCCATTCATAATCATATTCACTATTTCTTGAACAGATTAGACAGGTGGGGCTCAAACACTGAGGGCAGATGGACACTGGGCTGGGTTGCTTCCCAGTCCAGGTGGGTCCCAGTGGTAGGAGCCACAGCCAATCTGGTTATCTGGCTTGTGGGTGAGCCTGGAAGAAATAGAGGAGTTGCTGAAGCCAGTCTAGGACAGGTGGTGTAATCCTTTGGACATCACCAACCCCACTCTTTACCCCAAACTGCTCAGGATACACTCCAGAGGGCACAATGCCCACAAAGGGCTATACTCACCAAACTGTGTTCTTACATGCTTCTCAAATGCATTCAAATACATTTGACTAAGAAGGGACCCTTGCAGGGCACTGACATACAGATGACACACTGAGTGCCATTCACAAACAGCTCTTGCCCAGTACACACTACAGGTTTCCTGGGATTTGTAAAACCAGTTGTAGACTTTTTGCCTCTTCACCCCATACCTCCTCTAAGAGGTGCTCTCTTGCAGATAGTAACTTCGTGCTGGGCAATGCCCAGGTGGCAGGGCTCTTCCCTGTTGTCTACTGCTCTGATGGCTTCTGTGACCTTACGGGCTTCTCCCGGGCTGAGGTCATGCAGCGGGGCTGTGCCTGCTCTTTCCTCTATGGACCAGATACCAGTGAGCTCGTCCGCCAACAGATTCGAAAGGCCCTGGATGAGCACAAGGAATTCAAGGCTGAGCTGATCCTATACCGGAAAAGCGGTAAGGAGCCATCTTGTCTTACCTTTACAGCCTCAGCCAGCCAGACACTTAGTCCATCCGCTGTCCCTCCTCCTTTGCCTTCCCATCTTCCCATGCACCATGCACATTTCCATCCCCTCTTTCTCCACCCCACCTCCTCTCCACCATCCTCACCCTAGTTTCAGCCTCTGCTCAGTTCCAGTCTTGGGTTTCCCAAGTCCAACAGGAAAACATCCCATCTCAGCAGGACACATGTCTGACAGTCATGTCTGCTCTTCCTTGCTCCCCTTGTCCTGAGAGAAGCAGCACTGTTTCTCCTCCCTCAGGAAACCCTGCTTCTTCTTATGTTTTGCCCAGCATGTCAGTGGACAGGTCCTCTGTTGTCTTAGGCAGGGCTGAGAATGGGAGGTAGGATGAGTCTGTTTTTATGCCCAGGGCTTCCTTTCTGGTGTCTTCTGGATGTGATACCCATAAAGAATGAGAAAGGGGAGGTGGCCCTCTTCCTGGTCTCTCACAAGGACATCAGTGACACCAAGAACCGAGGGGGCCCTGACAGCTGGAAGGAGACAGGTGGGTGCCTGTTGGGGTATTGATTTAGTTGATGTGGCTGTTTGTTGGGTACCTCAGGCTTGGGCAGGGCCTTAGCATCCAGTCTGGGCTTATGGATCCCCCTCCCTCTTGTACTCACAGGGTCCTACTCTGGCTGGCTGAGAGGGCTGTGCTGCTCTCATCTGTGCATGCCCAGGCATGGGAATCTTTTTTCCAAATAGGCCAGTTGAGACAAAGTTGGAGTTTTCAAGTTAAATTTATTAAGAAGTTGAAAGCAAATTCCACTCATGCTTATGAAGCACTCCTTTCCCACTAGTTAGTGAGGTTGACCACAGACTTTTCCTTTTCCCCACAGCATACCTGTCAGGGGAGCCCCAGCCCTCTTTCAAATTCTTGGAGTCTTTCCCCCCAGAGACATAGACAGAGGTTTATTCAGGAAAGCAAATATGTATTCAAGGGCTATCTCCAGAGAGAAGATAGCACTTGCTCCCTTCTTGTGTCCCTCCAACGGCTGGGGCAGGCCTTTGGGCAGTCACAGAATTGTCATCAGATGCTGCTCCAAGGACTCTTGGGATATAGGGGGCACACTCCATTCCAATTCTCTACCCCACCCCTGGGTCTGCTTCTCTAATATCGTCAATATCACCTTCTGACCCCTGCATCTGAACCCTGGGCTCCTTCTCTGAGCTCCCACACCTCTGATGATGGCTTTCTACTAACTCTGCCTTCCTTCTCTGTGACCAAACTCCCTCTCCCAGGCCTTTCCCTGTAAACCTTCTCCTGTTTTCTCCTGGAAACCTTCTCCTAGAAGTAGTGTCTATAATGCCAATCTGCCCATTGCTATGGTTGGCAAGTGGCTTCAGGAAATAAGGAATGCCTAAGTCCCCAACTCTAAACAGACAAAATGGTCAATAAGCCAGATCAGTCCATGGGCCAGCAACTGGTATCCCACACCCAGAACCCTGTGATGGGGTATGTGGGTATACCCCACACCATCTTTATGGGCCCCTCTTCTTTTTCAGGTGGTGGCCGGCGCCGATATGGCCGGGCAGGAGCCAAAGGCTTTAATGCCAACCGGCGGCGGAGCAGGGCTGTGCTCTACCACCTCTCTGGGCACTTACAGAAGCAGCCCAAGGGCAAGCACAAGCTCAATAAGGTGGATTAAATACTAGGGTGTGTGTTTGGGATGGGGAACAGGAAGAGGACATGGAAGGGGGGAACTGATCCCACCAGAGAGAAAAAGTCCTGGAAGCCACCCAGGCCCCACCTCCATTTCTGGGGTTGGGACTGAGGGAGGGACTGTCTCATGTCTGATCCATCAAAGGTCTTGGCTTTAGAGTCAGATGTGCCTTAGTTCAATCCTTGCTTGTCCCCTAAATAGCTGTGTGACCTCAGTTAAGTTATTTGATTTCCCAAAACCTCTCTTGTTTTTTGGTACCTGGGATTGACCCAAGGGCACTTTTCCACTTCCTTGATTGTTTTTTTTTTGGAGACAGGGCCTCACCAAGTTGCTTAGGGCCTCACTAAGTTGCTGAGGCTAGCTTTGAAACTGCAATTCCCCTGCCTCAGTCTCCAGAGTCATTGGGATTATAGGTGTGTGCCACCATGCCTGGCAAACTCCTTTTTTTTTTAATCTATAAAATGGGGATTCTAATGCTCACCTCAGAGGTTGCTTTGAGAGTGCAGGGAGAGGTAAATGCCTTTCTCAGACACTATCCAAACTCAGCCTGTGCCAATATCCTTTCCTCCCTGACTGGATCTGCCCTGCCTCACTCAGGGAGTATTTGGGGAGAAGCCAAACTTGCCAGAATACAAAGTTGCTGCCATCCGGAAGTCACCTTTCATCCTGCTGCACTGCGGGGCGCTAAGAGCCACCTGGGATGGCTTCATCCTGCTCGCCACACTCTATGTGGCTGTCACTGTGCCCTACAGTGTGTGTGTGAGCACAGCCCGGGAGCCCAGTGCCGCTCGTGGCCCACCCAGTGTCTGTGACCTGGCCGTGGAGGTCCTCTTCATCCTTGGTATGTGCACTCTGCTCCTTCCTCTTCATTCCGTGTCAGACACCTTCGGGCTTTGATGGGAATCATCTGTATGGCTTCCAGTCCCCCACTAGTGTTCCCTTTGCCCTCCCTGTGTTTGTGACTCATGAGCTTTGAAATCAGATCTAGGTTCCAAATGTGTCTCTGCTTCTAATGTGGTATAGGACCCTGAGCTAGTCATAACCTCGCAAAGCCTGTTTCTCTCTCCATAAAAGAGGCAAAATAATGTGTGCCTGCTTGAGTTACTGTGACAGTTATGTCATACTGTGGTGTATGTGAAGGGCTCAGGATAGTGTCAAGTACTGAGCAGGTGCCCAGTGGTAAACAGTGACTGCCCACCCCATACTGACTCCCACCTGATTCCCTGCAGATATTGTGCTGAATTTCCGCACCACATTTGTGTCCAAGTCGGGCCAGGTGGTATTTGCTCCAAAGTCTATTTGCCTGCATTATGTCACCACCTGGTTCCTGCTGGATGTCATCGCAGCGCTGCCCTTTGACCTACTACACGCCTTCAAGGTCAATGTGGTCAGTGTGGCTGGGCTGGGTAGGGGGGCTTTCGGCTGGTACAGGCACAGCCAGCCTGATATGACTACCCTTCCCCATCTCAGTACTTTGGGGCCCATCTGTTGAAGACTGTGAGGCTGCTGCGCCTGTTGCGCCTGCTGCCACGCCTGGACCGGTACTCCCAGTACAGCGCTGTGGTACTGACCCTGCTCATGGCTGTGTTCGCCCTGCTCGCCCACTGGGTGGCCTGCATCTGGTTCTACATCGGCCAGCAGGAGATTGAGAGCAGTGAATCCGAGCTGCCTGAGATTGGTACTGGAGGTTGGGGTGGGTGTGTGCATGTTTAGGAGTGATGCCAGGTGTCAGAGATGTGTGCAAGTTTGCAAGTGTGTGACAGACGAGGGGTATGCGGGTGTGTATGACAGCCACCATCGTATGGCTGCTCTCCACCAGCTGGCCATTGTATAGACAGCCTGGTTGTGTAGGCTGCCTGGGGAGTTTCAGTCACCCATTGTGTCTTTCTGGTAGTCAAACCTTTGTCACATTCCTAAAGCCCTTGCCCAACTGGGAAGGCCAGGGAGGGAGCTGCTGCCCTTGCCTTTCCTCTGATGTTACCCTCTATGAAACTTGTACCCATCAAGGATCCCAGGCCCTTGCCTCACTGTTGTCACCTACAGCCCACATCTTTCTCAGTTGTGTCCACATTCTCCCCGAGCCTAAAAAAAAAAACATTTTCTGTGTCCCCAGTGTCTTTGCTCTCCTCCATTTCACCTTCACCGCCACAGCTCCTCCCTTTGCTCACCACCCACTCAGTCTTAACTGCTTCCAAGAGGGCTTCCACCCCCACCTTCCCACCCAAAATGTTGTGTGAAAGGTTGTAGTGACCTTCTGGGGCCAAACCTTTGTCTTCTGTGAAGTCTTTATAGCAGCTAACCCTGCCAATCATGCTCTCTTGCCTTGGGAAGGATAACCCTGGTCTGGCCCCCTTCTTCCCCAGCCCCTCCAAGTTCTAGAGACTCCAGATAGGCTTTCCTTCCTCCTTACTCACCTTGTTTCCCCTTGGCCATCCCACTGAGGCTACTACATGAACATTGCAACTCCCATCTTTTCCCTTTATCAGAACCATTCTGTTCCAGCCATTTCTAACTCTATGCTCTCAGTTCCCAAAATGAGTGCACACCTTCCTCCCACAACCTCCAGCCCTCTGTCACTTTGCAGTAACTGACATTTAGTGCATTTCCAGTGCTCAGGCAGCCTCTCATGTCAGTTTGCTCCTTGGTGGGGTCATCAGGAGTCCAGGTCAGTCTTAGAAACCTGCTCTGATCAGTTCCCCAGAGATGATGAGGCTTCTGCAAATCCTCTCCTCCTTGCCAAGTGCACAGGAGATTGGTATGTGCCCAGAGGTTCCACTTGGCTATTCCCCCGAGGACTCCAGTTGCTGAGCAGGTGGAAACTGGGACACACCAGCAGTGTTAGCTCCTTGGTGCCTGTCCCAGAGGGAGTCTGTGGTGGAGGCTGCTGTGGGGTCAGCAAATGCCCTGACCCTGTTTCTGCCCCTACAAAGTGACCTAAGATACCAAATCCCCAGGTTGGCCCCCTCCCCTACAGCAGGCCAGACAACCTTGGCCTTGAGTCCACAAAGCTCCTCTGTTCCAGCCACCTCATGGGGGCTGATGATCTGAAATCAAGAATATCTCTGGCTCTCAGAGAAGCTCTGGGCCCTACCACAATGAGCATGGGAGTACAGGGGTGACTGAGTCTTGGTAATTCTTTCACCCTTGGCCTGAGTTCCAGAGAGGATTCTTTCCATCTAGAACTGGTACTGGTCCACATTAGAAGATTTCAAAGTCCTTTATATTATCACCTCCCACTTCTTCTGGGAAGCTTCTTCTTTATGGCTTTCTTGTGTTGGTCCCCTGTTCTACTGCCTGTGGTGTGGACAGAGTTCTTTCCCCAGATTCCCATTAGCCCAGTGAAGATGAGCAGTTTTTTTAAAAGATTGTGCTGAATACTGAGGAGACAATTCAGAGCATTTCTCAGTGTGAAAGTCACCAACCTTCAGGAACAACCTTGGCTGGCCTAACCCCCTCATGCACTCTCCTAGCACTAGCTCTAAGGCTGCTGATGCCCCATGAAAAGGAAAAGTCCCTTTTTACCCTCATCTCTGTCTGGTTGTTTTCTGCCACCACTACTACCCCTTTACCACTGGACATCTGACTACCCAACTAAATAGTGACTGAAGGGTTCTGCGTGTAAAACTCCTCCGTCACATCCCCATAGCACACCTGAGATAACAGGAGTGAAGTCTCATCTTGGTCCAGGCCTTACTGCATCCCACCAAACTCCTTAGCCTGGAATTTGATGCCCTCAGTGTTAACCACACATTCTAGCCACACTGAGCTACTTGACTGTACTTTCTTAAAGTCTCCATCTCCAGGTTTGGCCCATGCCTTTCCCTCTATCAAAAATGACTCCCTCTCAAGTTTGCTTAGATCAAAACCTTCTCTATCCTTTGAAACCAAGCACACACATCCCCCCACTTAGGTTTGAGCCCCCTCATGTGGCACCTCTGGGATGTAGTACCTACTCTATAGTAGTTACTTGTTCTTCTGAACTAGAGTCCTCAAGAAGCTCCTGGCCCTCGGTACTGAGAGAATGGGTGTATGCATGACAGGAGGGGTGTGGGGACCACAGTGACTGCATGTAATAGGTGTCAGGAAGAGGGTGGTACACAATCTGTGTGTTGAGATGGGAGGGCAGAGCTTGTGTGGAGAGGTGGATCCCGCTGCAGCCTGTGACCCTGCACTTGTCCTCTGCCACTCCATTCCCCATCAGCTAAACTGCCCTCTCTCCCATCCAGCACCATAGAGCTCCCACAACCCTCCAGCCAGGTTCACAGTGACTTCTTGAAGGCATAGGCTTCTTAGGGACCCAGTACACAGCTCTGCCTCCTGCCAAGACCAGACAAGAAATAGGCCCATATCTGTGTGTGCATTCAAGCATCTGCTTATGTGCACATGCCTGTGCAAGTGCACAGGTGCCTGCTGAGGCCTCTGAATGTATTCACCTATGTGCAAGTGTGCCCCAGGCCTGTGTGTCAGTGTGCAAGCTCCTATGTGCCTTTGCCTCTCTTCAGAGTATACAGAGGCCATTTCAGTGTGAGTGGCTGTGACTGTGTCTGGGCATCTATAAGGTGCTCACATGTGTGTCCTTGTCATCTTGACTGTGTGCAGCGTGTGTAAGTCTCAGCAGTATCTGTAACCATATCCATATGGGTGTACTTAAGAGCACCTTTGTGAAGTTGGGTGGCTTGTGTGGGTTTGGGTGAGGGATGAGGTTGAATGGTGCCAGAGGGAGCATTTCTGGAGCAGATGGGCTGAGACAGACAGGAAGAAGGGTCTGGGTAGAAAGGGCAGAGGAGATGGCCTCTGTTATCCAGCATTAGGCACCAGGCTGTGATTGAATGCCATGAACCCCAGTCTCTGTCCCTCCAGCTAGACCCATTCCCTGAGATTAGTACCAGACATAGGAAAGAGAGTGTGATTCTCCTTGCTCCAACCTTGGCACCAACAGGAGCCAGCTGGGGAGGTGGCAACATTTTCCTTATGTGCTTGTCATGCTGAGGGTTGAGAGGGTGGTTGGGTGTGCTGGGCTGGCAGAGAAGGGGAAAAAGTAGTGGGAACTCATGAGGGTGAGTCTGTGTCTGCATGTCCCCAACCCTAGGGGGCTAGCACACCTGTACCCTCAGAGCCGTCAAGTTGTCCTGCCTGCTCAGACCTTTCCCTTGCCCTCTCCCCAGGCTGGCTGCAGGAGCTGGCCCGACGACTGGAGACCCCCTACTACCTGGTAGGCAAGAGACCAGTTGGAGAGAACAGCTCTGGCCAGAATGACAACTGCAGCAGCAGCAGCAGCAGCAGCAGCAGTGAGGCTAATGGGACTGGGCTGGAGCTCCTGGGCGGCCCGTCACTACGCAGTGCCTACATCACTTCCCTTTACTTCGCACTCAGCAGCCTCACCAGCGTGGGCTTTGGCAATGTGTCCGCCAACACGGACACTGAGAAGATCTTCTCCATCTGCACCATGCTGATTGGTGGTGAGGCCTGGCCTGCAGGTTTCTCTGGGCCCACTCCCAGACTGCTGGCCTCAACCCTCCCCTCTCACCTCCCCCAGGGCCCCAGGCCAGGGGTTCTTCTGCCTTAGGTGGTCTGTGGAATACAAGGCCAGGGCTGGGAGAGACACAGGGCCACACAGAGCCCATGCGCCCTGCATAAGAGCATGTGGAGTGGGGAGGGAGCAGAGGACAGATGTGTCCAGCACGGTATCAACCAGGTCAGGCCAGGCCTGCAGATGACCTGCTCTTACCACCCTCCCCAGCCCTGATGCACGCAGTGGTGTTTGGGAACGTCACGGCCATCATCCAGCGCATGTACGCCCGCCGCTTTCTGTATCACAGCCGCACTCGTGACCTGCGTGACTATATCCGTATCCATCGGATCCCCAAGCCCCTCAAGCAGCGCATGCTTGAGTACTTCCAGGCTACCTGGGCTGTGAACAATGGCATCGATACCACTGAGGTGTGGCGGGCTTCCAGGGTTAGCCCTTCTAGCCTTTTCTCCCTCAAGGGGTTTGCACTTGGCCTAAGGAGTAGGGATGGAGGGTGAGGAATGCCTCCCTGCTTTGGCTCTCCTGTGGGGACAGCAGCCAAGACGGCTTGAAGCTCCTGTGGACCCCAGTTAGGTCTGGAGGCTCTGTGCTCGCTGAAATCTGAGCCTGAGGTTGGAGGAGGAAAGGGGCTGCTCAGAGAGGACTAAAGCCAGGTGTGGTAACACAGGCCTGTAATCACAGCTACTTGTGAGGCTGAGACAGGAGGATTGCAAGTTGGAGGTCAGCCTGAACAATTTAGTGAGACCCCATCTCAAAATGAAAGCTGGGTTTGTGGCTCAGTGGTAGAGCGTCCCTGGGTTCAATCCCCAGTACTGCAAGGGGGAAAAATTCTGTAAGGAATTGAGAGGGTGGCAGGGCTAGCCCCCTTTACTGAGTGCACCATGTGTGGAGCCTCTGTTGACACCTCCCCTCGCTCCTAAGGCCTGTGAGGATGGAGAGGGCTTGGCTGGCTGGGATCCCTTCTGCCACCCCCAAACCTCTTCACCTGCTTGCCTGCAGCTGCTGCAGAGCCTCCCTGATGAGCTTCGTGCAGACATCGCCATGCACCTGCACAAGGAGGTCTTGCAGCTGCCGCTGTTTGAGGCAGCCAGCCGAGGATGCCTGAGGGCACTGTCCCTGGCCCTGCGGCCTGCCTTCTGCACACCTGGCGAATACCTCATCCACCAGGGTGACGCTCTTCAGGCCCTCTACTTCGTCTGCTCTGGCTCCATGGAGGTGCTCAAGGGTGGCACTGTGCTCGCCATCCTAGGTTTGTGTGGGTGGGAGAGAGGATACAGTGTGTGCTTGTGTGTGTGTGTGTTTGTGAGAGAGAGAGAGAGAGAGAGAGAGAGTGTTTAGGGGAGACACCATGGCTCTGATCTGCAGGAAACCTAGACAGGGTGCCACAAGGCCACAGAAGGGAGAAACAGCCAGGATGGAGTCAGGAATAGTCAAGAGTCCTGGGCAAAGGTCAGAGAAAACCCAAAGACTGCACCATGAAGACACAGGAGGTGATCATGATCTTGGAGGCGTACCTGGGAAAGCCAGTTTCTTAAAAGGAACCAAGCTTGGACTGGCACACATCTGTAATTTTAGCTACTGAGGAGGTTGAGTTCAGAGGATCACAAATAAGAGGCCAGGCTGGGAAATTTTGCAAGACCCTGTCTCAAAATGAAAAATAAAAAGAATTGGGGCTATAGCTCAGTGGTAGAGCACCCCTGGGTTCAATCCCCAGTACTGCATAATAATAATTTTTAAAAATAATAAAAGGAGCCAATCTATAAGGAGATAGAAGAGCAGCACTGTCTGGCAATCAAATGCTAAAGATAGAAGTGCTAGGAAGAGTGTTCAGACAGGGCTGAAAGAGGAATGAAAGCTGTCCTTGTGTGGGTCCCCTAGGTGATAGGATGTGACTTCCCTGGGGCAGGTCACAGAGCAGGCCCAGATCCCAGGGTCAGGTCAGCCTCCAACTGGCTAGAGAAACTTGTTCTGGTAAAATGGTACCTGCAGCATGCAGACTTCTCTTAGCAAAAGAAAGGTGAAGATGAGGAACCAATTTCCTAGATGAGGGTGAGGAGATTGCCATTGTGGAATGGCTGTGATAATAATGTTTAGCACAGGGGGCAGACAGCAGTACTAGCCCTGTTCCAGCTCCTTATGTGCCAGATCTAATTCAAACTTTACAGAACAGCAAAGGATTGACTAATGGGTTGGAACCTAGTCTGCTTGACTCTAAATCTCATGTTTACATGCTATTCCCAGGTGCTGTGGGAAGTCATGACCAGCAGAAAGGGAAACATCTTGGGAGGGATAATTGTGCCCCTAGACTTTAGGGAAATATTCAGGCACTTTGGGAAGTATGTGGATGCATCCAGGAAAAGCAATTAAAGAGGAACATTTCCCTGTGGTTGTGGGAGGCTCTCAGTGGTGACCCCAAAGGATGAGGAACACTAGGACCTGCTTGGGTAAATGATAGACTCATACACAAAATGGAAAGAAGGTGCTGACCTGACCATGACTGACTGCAGCTGAGTACTTAATATGGGGACAGCTGAGGCCTGGAGGGACTGAGGTTCATCATTACCTGGTGATCCACAATGAAGACTAGAAGTATAGAAAGGAACCCAGAGGGTGGTGCCATGTTACTAGATGCCCTGGCAGCTACAGGGAGTCCATCCTTGTTCCCTTGAGGAAGAGGGACCTCCAATAGAAATAAGAGGCAGAAATGCCACTAGGAGATCTTGGAGCTTGTGAGAGGTGACAGGCTGTTGATGTCCCACCCCCACCCCTTTTTTATAATCTTTCATGAGTCCAACTTCTAGGCCTATAGGAAATTTATGCCAGGACTGAGAAAATGAAGTTATGACTGGTTGTGGTGGCATGAGCTTGTAGTCCCAGCTACTTGGGAGGCTGAGGCAGGAGGATCCCTTGAGCCCACAAGTTCTAGCAACACCCCATCTAAAAAGAAAAAGAAAAAATGGGGTTATACACTCAAGTACGGCTGGTATTTTATGAAGAATTATGGAGGACTAGGGATCAGAAGGATGGAAAGGCAGATTTTGACTATTGAGGACTAGACAATGCCAAGAAAGGTTGTCAAGAGGATTGTAAACAGATGGCATTCAGCTTGGAGCCAAGAAAACAGCATGGTTGGGAGCTGGTATGGGGAACCTCTTGGAGCTGCTCCTTGCTAGTGTCAGGCACCAAGACTTAGAATAGCCACAATCATTGTTAAGTATTCAGATGGAGCTGAGAAAATGGCCCCTGGCTGTGGCCCAGGCCTTGCCACCAGAATATTCCCAGCATCAGGATTTACGCCACCTTTGATCTATCCTGTCCTGGCCTGAATCTTCTGCATAAACTATTTCTTTGCTGACTTGGAGGCTCTGGCTGCCCCAATGAATGTTTGACCCCAATCATGACCTGGGTTTTCTACTTTTCCTTCTCTACCATCTCCACATCTGCTGAGCATCTGGGTGCATCCTGCTCACTCCTGGTAGTTGAGACTGGCCCCACATTTTCCAGTGTTGATTCTGGCCCCCACCTGTTTGTGAACTGACTTAGGCTAAGCATTGTGAAGTCCTGTAAGGGAAGGAGATTGGGTGAATTTAGCCTGGAGGCTCTGGCCAAGGTGCCAATCTGGGGCAGTCTCCAGTCTTTGCAACTCTACCCTTAGTCCCTTCCTGTTTGTCATTTTTAAAAAAACATATTACCTTTATTTTATTTACTCATTTATTTATCTTTATGTGGTGCTGAGGATCGAACTTAGTGCCTCACACATGCCAGACAAGTGCTCTACCACCAAGTCACAGCCCCAGCCCCTCCTGTTTGTCATTTTTATGTCACTGCATAGATGAGGACAAAGAACACACATTTAACCTATTTCAGATGACACAAATGAGAGAGAGAGAGAGAGAGAGAGAGAGAGATTATTCTTCAGAGGATCACTTTGAGATCCAAATAGTTCTCAAAAGGAACCAGAACTTAAGTGCATATTTTCACCTAAGTTTGAGCAGAAATCCACAAACATTTCTAAGTTCCCTGTATGATGCCAGCAGCTACCTGTCTTTGTCCTTAAGGAAATGGACACTCTTTCTAATTGTGTGATTGATCTGGTGGAAGGCTGAGCTGCCTTTCATGGTAGTGAGTGTTCTGCCTGCCCAGGTTGCACCCTAATCCATGCCAGGAATAATCTAAAGGGGACTCTGCCTGAAGGGAAAGGAAGGAAGATTGTCTCTGTCATATACTTTATCTACATAACTCATTTGATTCTCATGTCCCTAAAAGCAGATACCTTGAGAACATTCTTTCTTCCCCTCTTCTTTCCTTCCTTCCTTCCTTCCTTCCTTCCTTCCTTCCTTCCTTCCTTC